GATCCAAGGGATCAGAACAGCAGGGACCTCACCCTTGGTGCGCAAGGGGAAGACCGTGGTGTAACGCGAGTAGTCGTCGACAACCAGCAAAAAGTACCGCTCACCGCCCTGACCACGAACGCGGGCTGGGCCCCACACGTCCAGGTGGAGGGTCTGCAGAGGAGCCTCTGTCGGGGGGAACGAGGAGGAGTGAGGAGCGGCGCGCTGCCGCCCCTCGACGCAAGGAAGGCAAGGCGGCGCAGGCGAGGCAGGGAGGGGAGGGAGGGACCTGGGAAGACCGGACACAAGGAGGCGACGGTGCATGCCACGAAGGCGTGGCAAGGAGGGGTGACCCAGGCGGTGGTGCCAGAGAAGAGTCTGGTGCGACAGGGAACGACACTCACAGGCGTGGGCCACCAGACCTGACGCAGACACCTGACCGACAGCAGCTACCTGGGGAGACGCAGTGGTCAGTGTGTAGAGACTCGACCCCGGCCGACGGGTGAACGTAGCCAGGTGACGGCCGGTCCTGGAGCACGTGCAGATCGCCACACGCTGTCCGCCAGGGGTAAAGGTGTCAACCCACTGATCCTGGAGGACAGCGTTGCTCACCAGGTTCGTCGAGAACGAGGGGAGGTGGAAACCCGACAACGAGCCAGACGGAACCGCCGGACAAGGGAGGACAGTGGTGGACTGGGCAAGGACTGGGCCCCCAGAGGGGTCAGCCAAGGAGACTGGGACCGGTGCAGGAAGCGGTGTGAGCTCAGTACTGTCACGGAAGAAGCAACGGGAAGCACCTGAGTCAAGGGTGAAGGTGTGACAGGCCTCAGCCGGTGCGGTACCTGAGAGAGGAGTCTCTGTGGGTGCTGTACCTGAGAGAGCAGACTCGAAACCAGCCGGGACAGCACTGGGGGGAGCAAGTACAGGGGGCACCATACCAGAGAGAGCAGACTCACTAGTACCCAGGGCAGCGGGCTCTATACCTGGGTCAGGCGGCACACACAAGTAACAGTCTCCCTCGGCACTAACAGTCAATGCATACATGGCAGCAATAATAGCATCATAGTCAAGAGCAAAGACATCAACACCAGCCCTCATGAGCTCAGCCCAGCGGGGGCGCTCAACATCCGCACCCATCTCCTCACGCCAAGCGTCGTCAAGGCGGGAGAAGCAGCGGTACGGGGTGTGGAACCTCCCACACGTCTGTCCCTTGCGGTCACCTGTGCGAATGACATAAGAACAGCGGGCACTGGCCCCCGACGTCCCACGCTGAGCAAGCCACTCACGAAGCTGCTGGGTCGTCTGGGGACGCTGCTGCTGCTGGGAGCTCTGGCCCGAGCCAGTGCCTCCACTCCGACCTCCGCCGCCACCACTACCACCGCTCCGACCGCCACCGCCACCACCGCCACCACCGCCACCGCCGCCACCGCCGCCGCCGCCACTACTGCCACTGCTTCCTCCGCCGCCCCCGCCTCCACCACCGACCCCACTCCCACCAGCGCTCCCGCCACCGCTCCCTCCAGCACCGCCTCCCCCCCCACCTCCCCCACCTCCTCCCCCCCCAGCGCCACCACCACCACTTTTGCCCCCCTTGCCCTTGCCGGTGCGGCGCCTCCCACCAGGAGTAGAAGCAGCGCCAACAGACTCAGCACCAAGGAAGTCAACAGCAGCAGCAGCAGCAGCGTAGGAGGGAGCGAGGGGAGAGGGAGAACACCCCTCAAAGATGGGGGTGCGAGGAGCGCCACGAGCAGCACCGACAGCTACAATGCTCTTTTCGGCCGCGAGCAGGTGCTCCTCTAGGAGGGCGACTGTGAGCTCAGTGGGACAGCGAGCAAGGAAGTGGTCTCGAACTGAGCGGAGGGTGTCAGGGAGACGGGTGACTATGAAGTGGAGTGTCCAGTACAGTGGAGGGGGGTTCTTAGCGCAGAACTCGGTGGGAAGGGCGGCACGCAGGCGAGCATCACTAGTGCGAAGGTGGGTGATAAGATCGGCGACTGTAGTAAAGGTGGACAGATCGGGGAACAGGTACGGCAGCATGAGGCGGCTAAGCTCGGCTGTGGCAGGCGAGGAGTAGCGAGCGACGACAGCGTCGTACAGGGCCTTAGCGGATTTGCAGTCGCCAAAATGCTCGAGCTCAGCTAGCGGGAGGTGACTGCGAATGGCTAGGCGAGCAGCTGCGTCACGAGTCTGCCAGTGGGAACGGACACTAAGCTCGGCTGTGGCAGCAGGAGCAGCGGCAGCACCAGACGCGTAGTCATAGAGGGAGATGTGGTCCGTGCTATTGCTCATAAGATACAACTGCAGGTCGTCGAGCCAGGAAGTGAACTGCACGGGACGGCCCTCAGCATCGAAGGAAAGAACGCGAATAGAGGCCATAGCTCAGGCGTGAGGGCACAGCAGAGCAGCGGCAGCAGCAGAGGGGACAGGAGAAAGCGGCAGTGCACAGGTAGCGGGCGGCGCTGCGAAGCAGGTAGCGGGCGAGCGGGCGGCGCTGCGAGCGGGCAGCGAAACGGGCGGGCCGCGAAGCGGGCAGCTAGCGGGCGGGCGGGCTGCGAAGTGGGCGGGCTGCGAAGCGGGCAGCGGGGCGAGCGGGCTGCGAGGCGGGCGGGCCGCGAAGCGGGCAGCGGGCGGGCGGGCGGGCTGCGAAGCGGGCAGCGGGGCGAGCGGGCTGCGAAGCGGGCGGGCCGCGAAGTGGGCAGCTAGCGGGCGGGCGGGCTGCGAAGTGGGCGGGCCGCGAAGCGGGCAGCGGGGCGAGCGGGCTGCGAGGCGGGCGGGCCGCGAAGCGGGCAGCGAGCGGGCGGGCTGCGAAGCGGGCGGGCCGCGAAGCGGGCAGCGAGCGGGCGGGCGGGCTGCGAAGTGGGCGGGCCGCGAAGCGGGCAGCGAGCGAGCGGGCTGCGAAGCGGGCGGGCCGCGAAGCAGGCAGCGAGCGGGCAGCGAAGCGGGCGGGCCGCGAAGCGGGCAGCGAGCGGGCGGGCGGGCTGCGTAGCGAGCGGGCCGCGAAGCGGGCAGCGAGCGGGCGGGCGGGCTGCGAGCGGGCGGCTCGGCGAGGGGCGCGCGAGGGCGCTAGTGAGGGGCGCGCGAGGGCGCTAGCAAGGGGCGCGCGAGGGCGCTAACGAAGGGGCGCGCGAGGGCGCTAACGAAGGGGCGCGCGAGGGCGCTAACGAGGGTGCGCGCGAGGGCGCTAACGAGGGGCGCGCGAGGGCGCTAACGAGGGCGCACGAGGGCGCTACGAGGCTAGGGCACGGGGTAGCATGGTAACCGCATGCGAGCGGTGGTGGGCCCTTAAAAAAACGGTCGGTAGGTCCTAGGGACCTCCTGCTCTGATACCATGTCAGAATCACTAGGCAAGAATGATTGAACTAGCAGAAGTTTGGGTACAAATATGAAACCCTAGTTGGGGTTGTACCCCATATTGGCTACCCCACTACAGCCTACAAGCATAATACAGTTTAACAGAATATTGTGATATATATATATATATATATATATATATATATGTCTGCATGCTTACCATTGCTAGGTTGTGATCGTTGTACTACATATGTTCTTATAACTTTGCATGTGAACTGGCCTTGTGGCCACTTATTTGTGCTCGGACTGTGTGGTGATTTTGTGATCCACATTGAGCTTTGCTTTGTTGTTTCTCCTGACTAATATTGTGACCATTGCATGCTCTGGCTATCCCCCACTTTGCCTATGGGGGTGTGTCAAAACATAAATCTTGATTGTTTAGGCTGTAGTGGGGTAGCCCAGAGAGGGAACAACCCATTACGCGGGGAATTACGGTTTTTTACACCAGCATCGTGCGGTTCAGCAAGCACCCAACGTAATCTTCGAGGAACACTGCAACTTCGCCATGTCCATGATGAAGCTAATATGGCGGAGGATGTGCCATTGAGCGTTTGGATGAAAGCAGAAGCGCAGAAAAAAAGGTAACAATTGCTTTAGGTGAAGCTACTCCTGTTACTAAGGTATCCAAGAAGGTTGCAAGAGAGTGTTGTTGGGGATTTCTGTGCTAGAAAGTTTCTTGATTAGTCATTTGTTTTCTACGCTGTAAAAGTACAGCTCGCTAAATGCTGGTGCGCGTCCCAAAGGCGTACGAATTCGGCAGAAGGCAACATCCATGTTGGGGGAGCTCGACTGCAGCAAAGCATGCATGGCCCTGTTTGTTTTTGCCTGCGGCCTTGCGGGCAGCCATCGCCCGTCCACCCAGGGATATTGATTACCGTACGAGGTTTCTACACCCTCGGTATCAAGTATTTACTAAAAATGCCCATTGTTCAAGGCTCACACTTAGCTTCACCGAATTCTGCGTGGTTACTGACCTGCTCCTACCAGGTCCCACAGATCTCGGCTTTTAGGCAAAAAAAAGGTGCTGGGTGACAGGTGACAACAAGTCAAAATCTTCCCTTGATTCAGGGTAAACGCCCGTGAACGGTCGGCGCTGCTGGTAACTTCCACGGCCACATTCGCCCTGTCGCGTTCGAGTGCGCCCAAGGTCGTCGCGGTCGCCATGCGTCTCGTCGCGTTCGAAAGCGGATGCTTTCTGTTGTTTCCCTCGGCCATCCGCCACTGCATCCGCCAATACGTTAACGGCGCGTGCGCGCACCGCATGGTCGCACGTTTCCGCGTGGCGGAAACGCTTCCCCCTTCTACCGCGACCCAGCGCGTCCTGCCGCCCTCTGCGGTGCAGCAGCGCGCATGAGGCAGTGGTGGGAAAGGCAGGGGGAGATGAGTGAGCGCACAGGAGTGGGTTGGATTCTCGCAAACCAGCGTGGGAGACGACGAGGGCCGTGCAGGCGGAAACAGAGCATTCGAGCGGCGCGGGGATGTGAAAGCCACGCCGTCAACCGGAAATACAGTTTGGCGTGAGTGCGGCGGCGGGAGATGAAGCTGCAGCACTAGTCGCGTAGGCGCTTCCGTGAGTGCAGTGGTTGTTTGGAGCACGCAGCAGCGAATTTCAGAAGGTCTCTTACGGGCAGCGGCGCGGTTGGAAGGGAGGGGGAGCAAGGGGTGCGAGGATGGACGGCGCGGGCGCGTCGGACAGTGCGGGCCCCTTTCTCTCCCTCCTGGAGATGCTCAATTCTCTGCCCCGCACGGGCACGCGCAACATCTTCACGCGCCGCGCAGGCAGAGGCCGCGGCGGCGGGCGCGGCGGCAGAGGGCGGGGCGGCAGGGGCATGCGGAGCGCGCGGGTGCGCGTGGAGGGCGTCCCCGCGAAGGCCTCCGCGGAGGCGCTGGCGGGCGTGCTGCGCGGCGTGGTGGGGGATGAGGTGGGGCGCGTGACGGTCAAGGGGTGCACGCGCGCGACGGGCGTGGGGGGGAGCGCGCGGCAGCAGTGGGCGTCGCTGGGGGTGGCGTACGCGGACCTGCTCTCCCCAGAGGCCGTGGACTCGCTGCTGCGCTGTGAGCGCGCTGGTGCCCCGCTGTACCTGGGCGGGCGCTTGCTGGGCGTGCAGCGCGTGGCGGAGCACAGGCGCGCGCCCGAGGGGCTGCTGCACCGCGCCACTGTCCACGTGGGCTTCATCCAACGGCCCGGCCAGCTGGCGGTGACGTGGCAGTCGGAGGCAGCGGAGTGCCGTGTGGAGTTTGACTTTCTGGAGAGGCGCGTGCGCGTGCTGGTGGGGGAAGGGCGCACGGGTCGGGCGGCAGATGAAGCAGCAGCAGGCGAGGAGGATGACGCATGGGGGGACTCAGACGGTGAGGACGACCTGTGGGAGGACGATCTGTGGGAGGACATTGTGGGTGCGGGTGGCTTTGCTGCTCCCACGGGCTCGTCTCTGCACGGCATGCCAGGCACCTTCCAGCGACAGCAGCACCGCCTGGACTGGCGCATGAGGGACGTGCACCTCTGGGCCACCCCCCACCGCTCCACCGCCCCGCGTGGACCCTCTGAGCGCCGCCCGTCGCTGCTGCTGCTGCCCGCCGTCCCGCCCTCTGTGTTCACACGGGCGTGTGACGACGACGTGTGGCAGCGCGACCATTCTGCTTGGTTCCCTGATGACAGTGACCCCTGGACCCGTGCCACTGACCTCCGCCTCGCCCCCACCACCCCGCCAGAGAGGGGGGGCACCGGGGGAGTGGGTGCAGAGGGCGGCAGGGGGTGGGGTGGCGGGGTGCTGGGAGTGGCGACAGTGGTGCAGGTGTCAGTGGGGTGGGAGAGCAGCGAGCAGGTGAGGAGGATCGCAGAGCGCATGCGCACCGCGGGGCTGTGCCGCAGTGCAAGGCACCTGGGCCGACCGCACCGCACCACCATTGCGTCGCTCTTCCACCCCCACCCGCCCATCACCATCGCTCCCTTCGTCTGCCTGCAGCCCCGCTGGCCTTCCTCTGCCCCCGCCACCACTGCCATCACCAGCGCAACCACTGCCAGCAGCAGCAGCAGCAGGGGAAGGGGGGCTGCACAGGCAGCGGAGCTGGCCTTCCCAGTGCTATACGTGCTGACGCTGCTGGTGCAGGCGGGCACCATCCCCCCCACGGCTGTGAGCGCCGGCCTGTACCGCACCCTGGCACACGAGCCGGCACGTGCAGCGGTGGCGGTGCTGCTGGAGTTCACGCGCTTCTCCCGCCCTGAGTTCGACCCCGCTTGCAAGTTCACCCGCGTGGCCCGCGCCATGCGCCGCCTAGGCAAGCTGCCGGGGCGACAGGCGCTGCTTGAAGGAGGAGACGCGCAGGCGAGGGGAGGGGCGGCAGAGGGGACGAGGAGGCGCAGGGAGGAGGCGGAGCAGCGGCAGGGAGAGGCAGAGGAGGGTGCGGAACGGCATGGGGGAGAGCAGGACGGGCAGGGGAGGAGGAGGGATGTGGAGACAGAGGGAGCGGTGGTGGAGCAGAGTGAGGGCTCGGCATGGCCGTGGGCGCTGCCAGAGAACCACGTGCTGGTGTTCCGCCTCATCGTGACGCCCCTGGCAGCGCAGTGCTGCCTGCCCAGTGTGGAGCTGGCGAACCGAGTGATCTCGCACTACCGCCCGCACGCGCACCGCTTCCTGCGCGTGACCTTCACGGAGGAGGGCATGCGGCAGCTGGCGTCCTTCGCCCTCGTGGGCGGCGCTTACTGCGCAGAGGAGGCGCAGCACAGCGCCCGCACCGATGTGTACCACCGCATTCTCAGGCTCGTCAACCAGGTGAAAGGGGCGCTGGGTAGTGGGTGTGGCAGGTGAGGGAGGCCTTGTAAACTGTGTTCGCTCGTCCCGCAATGTCCTGGGATGTGCCCCCGCACATCTGCTCCCCACTCCAAGCTCTCAACTCCCGCCACGTCCCTGCCTTGATTCTGCCACACCCTTGCCCGCTTCCGTCCCTCGCGTCCGTGCCGTCGCGTGACAGGGCTTTGAGCTGTGTGGGCGGCAGTACCGCTTTCTGGCGTCATCAGCATCGCAGCTGAGGGAGAAGTCGGCGTGGTTCCTGGCAGAGGACGCCACCCTCGGCCTCACCGTTGCCTCCGTGCAGGTGCGCTGCTGCTCCGTTACTCACTCGGTCAGTCAGTCAGTCAGTCAGTCAGTCAGTCAGTCAGTCAACGTGTGAGTCGGTCAGTCAGGAAGTCAGAGCGAGTCTGTCTGGCCTGTAGTGGGCCAGTCTGTTACTGTGTTTTTCAGGCGAGCAATGTCATTGTTACTCACCGCTTCAGTGAGTTTGCCTGTGAGCCCTTCGCTGAATAACCTAGTGGTGAGTCATTCACCTAGTCAATCTATCAGTCAGCCAGTCAATGTATGTTGTCGCTCGTCAGGAGTAGCCACTGTCTCATATCCGCACACCCTCGTCTTGGTGTGTGTGTGCGTGCGCGGCTGTGGCATGTGGTCACGAGGGAGCCTTGGGGATGCGTGGGGGGTTGAGTTGCGGGCACGGCATGGGAGCGGGCCCTCACGGCACGGCAGGCGTGGATGGGCACCTTCACCGCAATCCGCAACGTGGCCAAGTGCGCTGCGCGCATGGGGCAGTGCTTCTCCTCGCGCTTCACCTCGCTGCCCCTCCCCCGCACGCACGTGCGTGTGCTACCGGACGTCACGCGCCATGGCTACTGCTTCACGGACGGCATAGGCGCAATCTCCCCCGAGGCAGCCAGGGCGCTCGCAGATGCCATCGCGCCCTACCTCGACAGGCCTCTAGCGGGCGCGGGAGCGGCGGGTCTGCTGCGTGCGCCGTCGGCGTTTCAGATCCGGTACGCGGGGGTGAAGGGCATGGTGGCCGTGTGGCCGCGGTGGGTCATGCAGCACGTGGAGGCACAGGGGGCTGCTGGTGCGGAGCAGGGCCTTGGTGCATGGCAGCAGCAGCAGCAGCTGCAGCAGCAGCAGCAGCAGCAGCAGCAGCAGCAGCAGCAGCAGCAGCAGCAGCAGCAGGAGGTGGATCTGTGGTTTCGAGAGGGGCAGTGTGCGGGCACATGGTGGGCGCAGGCACAGCAGGGAGGTGGTGAGGCTGGGCGTGGAGCAGCAGCAGGGGCAGCAGGGGTGGTGCACATGTGGGTGCGGGAGAGCATGGACAAGTTTGAGTCGCAGCATGCTGACGTGGACGTGGTCAACTGGACGCGTCCCCAGCCGTGCTTCCTCAACCGCCAGATCGTCACGCTGCTCTGCACACTGGGCGTCCCCGACCAAGTCTTTCTCCACATGCAGGTGCGCATGCCATGTGCCTCCGTTGCTCCCCTGCTCTCCCTTGCTCTTTGCCTCCTCTCACCTGTGCTCCGTGCACCTACCATTCCCGCCTGCCCGTGCAGGTGCTGCACCCATCACTGGGCCATGCTCACATGGACATCAAGTTGCCTCCCTATGGCCCTTGCACCATTCCCCCCCCCACACCTCGCCTCGTCCACGGCGCGCCGCGCCAACTGATCTCCTCGCACTACACTGAGCGCCTCCTGTCTCTCTCCCCCCCTTCCCCTATGACCACAGGACACCATGGTGGAGCGGTTGGAGGCAGCGGTGGGCAGTGGGGAGGCGGCGCTGCAGCTGCTGGAGGAGAGTGGCGCGGACCACCTGTACGGCACCGCCATCACCATGCTGCGCGCTGCCTTCCACCCCGCTCAGGAGCCGCACCTCAAACGCATCATCCAATCCGTGCGGTAAGCATGGGTGCTGTGCGGTGAATGGGCAGTGGTCGATGCTGTGCGTGTGGCAGGGTGCTGTAACTTCCGTTCCCTCCGTCCCTCCAACCTGTCATCACTTGGCGTTTCCCATCACTCCTCTTTCTGCCCTCTAAATGCACCTACCCTGAACCTGCACGTCTCCTCGTGCCTGCCGCATCCGACTGTGCACTGCTCACTCGTCACATCCTGAGCCCCTCTTCTGCCACGCACTGCGTGCAGGGCGCTACAGCTGCAGGGGCTCATCTCACGTGCGCGCATCTTCGTGAAAGACGGCCGCTGGCTCATGGGCGTTGTGGATGAGACCGGGCTGCTGCAGGTGAGAGAAAGGCGCTGCATTGTTGGCTCCAGATGAACTCATTTAAGCCGTGTGGCCCCACACTCAAAACCAGTACACCATGCCAGTGAAATCAACCAATTTCTAATCAAAGCCCTTATCTACTTCCATGCCCTCTCCCCCCTCTTCCTGATGCACCACGGCAGTACGGGCAGTGTTTCATCCAGGTGTGTGACGCCACGGCACCCACGCCTAACACCACCATGAGGCTGCACAGCACAGGGCGCGGCATGGGGCCGCCACGCGTGGTCACAGGCCCCGTGGTGTTCGGCAAGAACCCCTGCCTGCACCCGGGCGACCTGCGCGTGCTCTCCGCCGTTGACCTGCCGTGCCTGCACCACCTCATTGACTGCCTCGTGCTGCCTAAGAACGGCCCGCGCCCGCACGCCAATGAGGCATCGGGCAGTGACATGGACGGGGACGTGTACTTTGTCATGTGGGACGCAAGATTGATGCCACCGGGGGGGCGCAGCAGTGACCCCATGGACTACCAGCCGGCTAAGAAGGACAGCGATGCACCAGTCACCATGGAGGTGGGTGGCCTTCGTGCCTTTGATGCTCCTCTTACTGTTGTTCCTTGCAAGAGAGACATTTTTTTGGTTCTCGGCCTTACGAACGGCCTTTACTGTGTCCGTTCCCTGCTCTTAGTGTAGTCACACGCGTGAGGAAAAAAGGAGGAGCAATCTCGAAGAAGGAGCACACTGAAAGATATGAAATACGCGGACATTCACACACATCATGGCACGCACGAGCAACCAGCACCCAGTGCTTGACTTGTGACGAGGCGAACCTTTAATTTTCTTCAGATGGCCCGTCACTGGTCTGCTTGCAACAAGCTTACATTCTGGTGTACGTGTGAGTGTGAGTGTGGCATGGCAGGACGTGCACGGGTTCTTCGTGCACCACATGCTCACAGCAAGTGAACCCGATTCTTCCATGCGATGCCCCCCCTTGCTGTGCCGCAACTCCTCCCACTACCAGGAAGTGCACCGGTTCTTCGTTGACCACAGGCTGAACTAGGCCAGAGACTCCGGTGTTCATTTTCATCAGAGCCCCCCTCTCCCCCCCCCCCAACTTGTTGTGCCCCAACCCTTCACCAGGACGTGCACCTCTTCTTCGTGGACCACATGCTCAACTTGGTAAAAAAGACCCTGGTGTTTAAATCCATTAGTGGCTCCCTCCTCCTGTGCCGCAACCCCGCCCACCAGGAGGTGCACCGGTTCTTCGTGGACCACATGTTGAACGACAGCGTGGGCATCATCTGCAACGCGCACGTGGTGCACGCCGACCGCAGCCCCCTGGGCGCCTTCAACCCCGACTGCCTCACCCTCGCCCGCCAGGCCGCACTGGCGTTCGACTTCCCCAAGACGGGCGTGCCGGGCGTGATGCCACGCGAGCTGCGCGTGCATGAGTACCCTGACTTCATGGAGAAGGACGACCGCCAGGAGACGTATGAGTCCAGCAAGGCGCTGGGGCAGCTGTACCGCCGCGTGAAGCGCATGGTGCTGGGGGAACAGCCGTGCGATGAAGCACGCGTGATACCAGGGGTGGAGGAGGACGATGAGGGGGAGGGCAGGGGCAGTGACGAGGAGGTAGAGGGAGACTTGCAGCACGGGGGGAGTGGAGAGGGTGCAGGGCGCGAGGGCGGTGGCAGGGGGTGGGAGGGCGAGGCGGACGTGATGGCGGACCGGCGCACGTGGTTGCGATGGCCCGAGGCAGATGAGGTGGGGCGCGCATACCGGGCTGACCTGAGGGCCGAGGGGTTCGAGCAGCATGTGGAGGAGGCCAGGTGGCTGAAGCTGGAGTACGACCGATCCATGCTGCACATGCTGCACCAGGTGAGTGCGTGCTGCACCAGGTGAGTGCGTGCTGCACCAGGTGAGTGCGTGCTGCACCAGGTGAGTGCATGCTGCACGTCCATCTGCCTTTCTGCTCAGTGGCTGATCAGTGGCTGCCCCTCCACTCTCCCTCCCTCCCATTCCCTTTCTTACGTTTTCACTCCCTATCCCTCTTCCAACTCAAACAGTGGCCACGTGCAGTTCTGCTGGCCCCTTCACACATGACTGTTGCTCTGTGTGCGCCCGTGTGTGCGCATGCCCTCCCCCCCCCGGCAGTTTGGAATCATGTCGGAGGCGGAGGTGGTGTCGGGCAGTCTGCTGCACGCGGCGCACCGCCAGGGGCGACGGGAGGAGGCGGTGAAGGAGCAGGTGCGCAACATGTTCCTCTCGCTGCGCCACCGCTACCACCGCCTCCTCCTGTACGGCGTGGACGCTGAGGGCGATGATGGCGAGGAGCGCGGGGAGAAGGTGGGCATGGAGCGTGCAGGGGAGGAGGGGCAGGAGCCGCTTGGTGATTCCTTCATGGATGCCCGCCTCCCTCGGCAGCAGCGCAGGGGGCAGGCCCAGCCCACGGCATGGCAGGTGGGTTTGCTCGTGGGTTAGCACTGCACACGTGTTGCTCTCCATGTGTGCTGCTCTGATCAGACATGCTCTTTATTGAGAGAAGGCTCGCTGGATGACGGGTAAGTGCTCTGTAGTTTTCACCTCACTCACATGATCGATTGGTTGGTCTTATAATGTGGCTTTTGGTTGCCTGTATGTTTACACTTGCTTGCATGAATGTATGAGTGCGTGTGCTTGCATGTGTGCGTGCGTGCGTGCGTGCGTGTGTGCATGTGCTCGTGTGTGGATTCGTGTGCTTGCGTGTGTTTGCATGTGTTAACCAGGTCATGGATGAATCTGCCTGTCTTGACGTGTCAACCATTCGAGCCCGCGCCTTTGCATGGTACCATGTGTGCTACCATCCTACGGAGATAGAGCGTGTGCAGCAGGAGGCACGTAGCTGTGGCCTCGACGTGCCTCCAATATTTCTCAGCTTTGCTTGGATTGGAGTAGATGCCTTATGCCAACACTTGATCACACATTGAGCTCGAGGTGGAAAGCACGTTTGTGGTCTTTGTTTTTGTGAATTGCATTCCACATTTCAATAATGCATATACTGTGCGCATCCGTCTATTGGGCGCGTATAACCGGATTGTTGGGTTGAACAAAGCCCTAGGATAGGATCGTTCAGAGTCGGGTCCTTAGTCCTTAGATGACACTTTTTTACCTGCCGAGCCGGATGGTCCGAGTGCGATGGCCGTGTTGGCGGGAACAGTGTCTAAGAGAGTGTCACGAGGTGGTAATGGGCTACTTTTGTGTGTAGTACAATTGGGGGAACAGTCGTACAAGCGATATGCGAAGGAAAAGTTGTTTCTTTATGTTGTGGATGCGCATCTACTTGGTGAGGACAGGGAGATTCTCAATCTTGTCCATGAGGACCCCATTGTCTTCAGTTGGCGTTCGGTCCTTCCAGCGAATCAGGAACTCGACGCGCTGTGCATCACATGGGTCGCAAACTCGATGGCTCAATTTATACCTTCTCATGTGTGACAGTTTCTCGGTCGACGGGAGTGTCATGCTGGTCGGGTGGATGCGTGGCAGTTGACTTGTCTACGAGACGTAGGGGCGGATGAGGCTTTCATGGAATGACGGGATGACGTACCAGTCAGCGGGCAGAAGGAGGTGGGCGGTGACGAGGGTGATCATGTGGCTGATGCGAACTGGCCCGCAATATCGTGGATGTAACTGCGCTTAGCAATGATATTTGCTTTGTTTGCGCGCCTGTCTCGGGGTCGTATGATGGATTGAACAGGAGTCGTGTGTCGAACTGCTGCCACGGGTTGCTGGTGAATTTCGTGTCGTGGTCGTTGATCAGCGCCGCTGGTATTCCGTGCAGGCGAACGACAGTGGCGATGAAGAGACGGGTTATTTCTTCGGCTGTGATCGATTTCTTGCAAGCAGCAAAATGTGCCATTTACGTCTGCCGATTGACGACCACGAGGATCGCGTCGTTTCCGCTTGCCCCTGTCAGAAGAACTAGCAGGAATGGAATGAACTATGAGAAACTTGGGTACAAATAGAAACCCTAACATTGGGCTGTACCCCATATGGGCTACCCCACTACAGCCTACAGACTACCCTATGTATATATAATATATATATTCATAAATATATAACACTATATATATAGTTTGACACACCCCCATAGGCAAAGTGGGGGAGAACAAGGGGTCATAAGACCAGTCAAGAAAAGAAAAGCAAGCTCAGGGTGGATCACAACGTCACCACATACACTGAGCACAAGCAAAGGGCCACAAGGCCAGTTCACAAGCAGAGGTATATAAGCAACAACAACAGCATAGTGATCACTACCTAGCAAGAGCAAGCATGCAGGTGTGTGTGTATATATATATATATATATATATAGATCACAGTACAAGCAAAGCCTACAGCAAGTGAGGAAATGTAGGCACTAGGCCTAGAGCAGTGTAGAGGCGCTGATGATCACCAGCCGGAAGGGCCTTGGTGAACACATCAGCAGTGTTGGCCCGGGTGGGCACGTGAACGACACGAAGCTGACCACGCTGCTACAACTCTCGAGCAAGGAAGTAACGCAGAGCGATGTGCTTCGTTCTGTGCTCCAGTCTGTGGTCCTGACACAAGGCAATGACAGCCTTGTTGTCGACGTACAGAACTGGAGGAGAACGAAGCCTTTCTCCCAAGTCAGTCAACAGGTAGGTGAGCCAGCGTAACTCCTATGCAGCCATGGCTGTGGCGTAGATCTCAGCCTCACAACTGGAGCTGAGAACAGGAGACGAGCGGGTAGACTGCCAAGAAACAGAGCCGGAGCCAAGGCTGACCTCGAAGCACGAGCCCCATGCCCGATGTACTGCACAAGTAACGCAGCACCCTCTTAGCAGCATCCATGTGCACCTTTCGGTGCCTACCAGGAGCCACGTAGCGAGCCAGAAGGCCAAGAGGGTACGCAAGAGTGAGTGCGACCACAGCTTGTTCCTGCTGCAAGAGAAGGAGCAGTTTCTCCTGCTCCTGGTGTATGTGGACGACATCCTGCTTTTCTCCGAGTCGTCTGCAATGATTGAACGCGTGGAGGAGATGCTGGAAATCCAGTTCAAGTGTCCAAAGATGGGATATGTGAAGTATTACCTTGGGATGCATGTGGAGAGAGACCTTGACAAGGGAGTGTTGAGGTTGCACCAGAGGAAGTACTGTGAGGGGCTGGCTGAGAAGTATGGGCTGCAAGATGGAGGAAAGCCAGCCACCCCACTGCCTTCAGGGTTCACTGTGGAGCCCTGTGCTGATGAGGAGGTGGTGGGAGAGAGTGACAGGAAGCTGTTTCATTCCATGGTTGGGGCGCTCAACTATGCGGCTAACCACACGCGGCCTGACATTGCGTTTGCTACATCCAGGCTTGCGAGTGTGGTGTCACGTCCCAGTCATGAGCAACTGGAAGCGGCCAAGAGGTTGGTCCGCTATGTGAGTGCTACAGCATCAGTGGGCTTGGAGTACAGTGCTGTGCAACAGAGGCTGCAGAGGGGTGCAGCTGACTTGAGCAAGGGGGAGATGCTCTTGACCTGCTACACCGACGCTAGCTTCAACTCAGTGAAGTCGGATGGCACCAGCATTGGAGGCTATGTGTGCCTCTTTGGAGGTGGTGCAGTGAGCTGGCGCAGCAAGAAGGAAAACGAGGTGGGGCTGTCCTCATGTGAGACAGAGTACATGGCCCTGCATCATGGGGCAAAGGAGGTGGTGTGGCTGAGGCGTTTGTTGGAGGAGATCGGAGTGTGCCAGAAGGAGCCGACTGTGATTTTCTGTGACAATGAGTCGGCGGTGAAGCTTGCAAAGAATGCTTGTCTTCATGGGCTGACCAAGCACATCAGGCCCAAGTGGCATTGGACAAGGAGGCTCCTGGATAAGGAGGTGCGACTGGAGCTTGTGAAGACCCAGCAGCAGGCGGCTGACATTCTCACCAAGCGCCTGGCAGAACCTGAGCATTGGAAGGGGATTAAGCTTGCTGGAATGAGCGTGCATTGAGTGTGCATGCATGAGCTGAGGCATGTGGGATGATGGTTGGCAGCCAGAGGGGGAGTTTGTTGTGTGATGCTATCATTAGCATTCGCGTCTGTCTGCCTCCCATCATATGTTCGTGCGTTGCATGCGTGATGTGAGCGTGTGCAAGATTTGTATTTCGTGTGGTTTGGATTATCTGAGTGTATGTGTGTGAATGTTATTTGACTTGGGCAGATATCTGAAGTGATTTCTCTGCTCAAGAGCTTTCCGACGAGCCAAGAATCGTCGCGATCGGAGCAAGATCAAGAAAGTTACGAACGTTGGAGTTCGTATGCTTTCTGTACTTTGGTTGCGACGACTATGGGAAGTTGTGGAGTTTGCTCCATAAGGGATATAGATTTTTGGGGCTGGAAAATTCGAACCCATCACTGTAGATGCTGCCATGTGGTTGGGAGAAGCCAAACCAGGTTGGCAAGTGTGGCCAAGTGGGAGTGAGGTGGATTTGGGAGGTTGGGAAAATGACAAGGGTGAAAGTTGGGTTGCCTATTGAGAGGGAAATAGTGGCATGGGGTTTCCTTGGTTGGGGACTCCCTTGGGACCTTCCCTCTCGTCCTCCTCTTCCCTCCTACCTGGTTTAGATCTACCCTAACTCTCTTGTGTGTAACTTGTGTGATCTTGTGAAAGTATTGTGATTGAGTTAAGATTTTATGGCAGCTTACCCCCTTGTGCGCCGAAACGGATAACTCAAGATTAAGTTCACCATTTCACGTAATTCAACTTGGGAATTGTAGCCATGGTTTAGCGCTACAAAATACTCGGTTTTTGTGAGATTTTAACGGTGAACGTTTTGACGACGACGTTTCTTGTGAAGTCGCGGTTTCTGTCCAGAAATTATCACCAACGGTTTTGTGTTATTTCGGCCCCTATTCTTCATAGACTCAGTCCTTAGTCTCTAACACTCACCCAGGTCTGTGCACGTGTGTCTCTTCTGCAGCTCCGACTTCACCAGGGCGAGAGCCTCAGTGTCAGCAGTGGCAAAGACCAAATCGTCGACGTACACAAGGATGTAGAACGGCGGCAGCGAAGTGTCGGTGCGCAGAAACAGCGACGGGTCAGCAGTGGAAGGGGCAAACCCAAGAGCCGCAAGTGTCGTCCTCAGTGTGTCGTGCCACTTACGAAGCGCCTGGCGGAGACCGTAGACTGGCCGACGGAGGCTCCACTGGGTACTAGGAGGGAACGACCCAGTGAAGCCAGGTGGGCGGCGCAGCCAGATCTCCTCGTGCAGACTGCCCTGTAAGAAGGCTGTGCTTAAGTCAAGAGAGTGAAGCTCGTAGTTACGCCAAGCGGCAATGTGCAGCAGCACCCGAAGAATGGTCATCTTCGGGGTGGGGGAGAAGGTCTGGAAGAAGTCAACTCCCTGTCACTGACTGAAGTCTCGTGGAACGTAGCGAGCCTTGAAGACAGGCGGAGAACCCGGCGGCCGCTTCACCCTGAAAATCCACATGCCATCGACTACGTTCGCCCCAGGAGGGGGAACTGCGTCGACGTAGGTGCCTGTGGACTTCCAAGATGCCATCTCTGCGTCCATGGCTGTCTGCCACTGAGAGGAGTACTCACCCGCGATCGCCTCAGCGTAAGTGCGCGGGGTAGGGATGTCTGGTGCATCCGGGTCTCCCTCAGGGGCAAGCAACATGGCCACGAGATGAGGTACAGCAGCCGCAAGACACTCAAGGTCCTCCTGTCTGTCCTCAAGGACGTCCGTGCCAAGAGCACACTCACCCCCAACGGACGGAGGACAGACAGACTCAGACTCAGCAACAAGACTAGCAGCGTAGTCTAGATGACAGGCAGCAGCAAAGTCAACAAGCTCAGCGACCAAGGCGGACGCAGCAGTGGACACAAATGAAGGGTCAGTGACAACAGTGGCAAGCAGACGCGTGAAAGTAGGGTGAGCAGCACGAACACGGTCAGACTCAGGGTCTGGAACGTCAGGCAGAGAGGACGCAGGAGGAGACGG